TGGCCAAGTGGCAGCATCAATGGACTCAATCGTGGAAGTGGTAGTGAAGTTGGCCCAGGATTGGGCAGTGTTTTGCTCTGCTGTGCATAAGGTCACTATGAGTTGGTACCGACTCCTAGGAACCCTGGAAATCAAGAGTGGGTTTGAACCCTGGAAATCAAGAGTGGGTTTGAAGCACAGTACTTACCTTAGAGCCCCACCCCAGGAGTCCTACATATACTACAAAATAGTAATAGTGGTGATGATAAGAGGGAAAGTGCTGCCACAGAGCAGATGAACGCTGCTCCGGTTCCCTAAGCAGACTGCTACATCTTTCTCCCTCCGAGTGACTGGTGGGTTTGAACTGTTGACCTTTCAGGTAGCAGCTGGATGTTTTAACCCTGCTGCAAAATCAGAGCAACTTGGTTACAGCCAGAGGTGGTGGATGGTGCCCCCACTTGAAAGCAGTTTTGCACCCTTACTCACTTCTCTGCTCCTCTACTTTGGTTTCAAGGCCCCCCTACTTTGGGCACCCTCCCAACTATTTTGTGGTTCAGGGTCAGCACCTCCCAACTGTAGGATGATGTGCTATTTTGCTTTGAGTGATTTTGGAAAGGGAGGAAATCCCAAATGTGTGCTGCCAGATGTATGTGAAAGATCTTAAACATCAATAAATAGATTCCTCAGCCCAAACACTCAAGGGCACCCTCCTCCCGCAGGTGTAGTGAGGTCATTCCCGTGGTGTACTTCCTGCACCTATTTTTGAGTATTTAAAGCACAAAATGATGCTGAGCGGCACAGAGGGTTAAGCATTGGGAGCATTGGGCTGCTGACCAAAAGATCTGCTGTTCAAACCCACCAGTCACTCCGAGGGTAAAAGAGGCTGTCTGCTCCCACAAGGACTGAGTCTTGGAAACACTGGCGCTGTTCGACTGTTTTGTCACTACAAGTTGGAACTGACACGAAGGCCGTGGGTTTTTTGGTTTTAACCACAAATTGAGGTTATACTGAAATCACAAATACCCTCAAGGCTATAAAATTCTAGTCTCTACTCTCGTCCTTGGCACAGATTAGAAGTTAGGTGGTTTTAGTTCCTGAAGTTTTTACCCCATCTTGTAGTCAGACCACAGGACTGGATGTTTGCGTGACTGCGGTCAAATCAAGAGGATGAGAGCTCAGATGGATGGCCCGCTCACAATCTCCGTCAGTTCCCTCAAATGTAAATTGCTGTCTGTGAAAAATAAAGTGCCAACGTTTCCTCCTCAACACCCTACTTCTCTATTTATTGGGTTCCAGAACCGTTTTTGCAACAGCCACACAGGACTCAGGCACTGTACTCACTGCTGAGAAGTTGCTAAGTGTCGTCGAGTCAATTCTGATTCAAAGTGACCCTGCTTCCAAGGAGCAGTTAGTGGGCTTGAACTGTAGACCTTGAGGCTTGCAGTCCAGTGCTGATGCTACAGCGCCACACTAGAGGATGACCAGTTACAATTCAGTATCAGAAATGTCTGGGCCACAGTTCTTCCAGTCAGGGAAGCCTTTCCTCGGCTGTGCCCACTGACCGCACCACCACCATCAGCCTCAGCCTGGTGGCATGGCACACTGTAAGCCAGCCTTCTGCCCCACTCACTCCGCTCTCGTTTCTCTGTGGACTGGGAAGCCCACTGCTGTCTTGTGCTGCTGCTACTGTCCCTTTGCCACTCTTCCAGTGGCAGTTTCTGGGTCAAGGAGATTCAATGCACAGGAATATCAGGGCCCAAAAGACATGCTCCACTCCTGGCTCTTCTGAGATGGTTCATTCTATACTAATGCTAGTGTTTCATGTTTTTACAGTTTACTCTAACATCCAGCTGAATCATGTCATCTTAGCAGTATAGTTTCCCACCGTCTCTTCCCCAGACCCAGTAGGGCAGAACTGTTAGGTGGAAGTTGCAGACTATGGTTCGAAGTGACCTAATTCACACAAGGTCATAGTCAACGAGTTCTAAGGTTCCTCTCAGAACTGTGTTCTTCCCAACCCATAGGATGTGAGGACTAGCTGAGGCTTCGCACATCCCAGCACTGTGCTGAGCTTCAAAGCCGAGGGGTACACTGTGGGCTGGGCCCTTGACTCCCAGAGCTAGTGGCCTCCCTCTGAACCCTGTGGAGAGACACAGCAGCTGCCACCATGCTAACTATAGTGACATGACATAGCAGAGGACATTTGTCAGCAGCACCTAGACTCAGTTTTTAATTTTCAGTATGTCCCACTCATCTATTTTGTCTACTTTTGTGTGGTTTTCAAAATGTTTTGTAGTCTGTGTATTCTCTGAATTAGTGCCCTCACATTTGTCCCTAGTTTTTCATTGATGGCCTTCATAATTCTGGGATTCACATTTAGGTCTTTAATCCATGTTGACTTGGTTTTTGTATAAGGTGTGAGGTGAAGGTCTTGTTTCAATTTTTTGCATATCATTTTCCAGTTCAGCACCTGGACTCAGAACGAGAGTCAGATCGGCACGGGTTTGTGACATTTGCCCACCACCCGCTACCACCTAGGAAACTCCCTGACTCAGACCTCTTGTCTTCAAACCCGAGGTCGAGATTTTTACCCTTCACCTTGACACCTCAGAAGCAGTAAGTGAAACCCAGTGCTCCAGCAGCTCCCCAGAAACCTGCTAGTGGCAAACCTAGTCTGCAGGTGGGCTTGAGCAGGGCACCATCTTCTATTGCTGCGTAAATGATCCAAACTAAGGGGCTTCACACGTCTCAGAATTCCACCTGGCTGTGCTCACATCTGGAGCGCGGTGTCCTCCTCCAAGCCACCACTGTGTTGGCAGAATCCACTTAGGAAAGTGTGGGACTTGTGGGACTGAGGGCTCATTCTCTGGCTGAGAATGATTTCCTGATCGGGAACCTTTCATAACATGGTGACTTCTTCAAGACCAGCAAGCTAATGTATTCTCTGGAGTTTTGTGGAAGCATCTAGGCCCCCGACTGGCTGGCTATTTCCTAAGTGGGGGACTGGCCATCTGTGTGTGTGATTTCCATTGAGCTTGGATGACTATCAGACACCTCACACAGACACACTCCCTCCCTCACAACTGACATGTGGAATCCACAAGTTTATTACGTGTAAGTGAACAGAAACGGCTGCAGGGCACAGATGTAAGGCTACGAAAAAACCAGGGTGGGTGTAGCAGTGGAAGGGGCAGAGCGACACTGGTAAGTGACAGCCACCAGTGAGCAAGTCCTTCAGTGCTTAGGTGACCATGTGCCACTAAAGTCAAGTGACCAAGAAGTGCACATCCAATGAACCACCAACTCTGGAAGACAGGTGACAGGCGACGAGGGCCAGGCCTGGAGCTCTGCCACAGGGGGTTACACTCACGGTGAACGGACCTTCAGAGCTGTTACAGCCAGTAAGGGAACACACACCCTCCCCTCACACCAGGTGAAGAAACGGGCCCCCTCTCAGGTAAGTGGGCCCATGAAACCTTGGACTTTTGACCCAGAGCAGCAATGCACACCGCGGCACCCCACAGCCAGCTGCCCTCTGTCTACTAAGAACCCTCCTACCACTGGGTTTCCAACAGAGACTGAGCAAACCCAGGGCGGTGCCACAGGGGTGGGCCTGGAGGGCAGGATGTGGCCGGAAGTGGGCCGGTGCCACACGTGCGCGGGGTCCTTCCTAGGCATCATGAAGATTGCTGTTGCTCAGCAGCACCTTCTCCCCAGGCTTGAAGGCTGGCATCCCCAGGTAGGGGCAGCTGGCGCAGCGGAAGGCATCCCCCAGGTAGCACTGCGGAGAGAAGACACAGTCACACAGGGGAACCACAGGCCACCCGAAAGGGGCTCCTCCTTTCATTACATGCTCACACCAGCCTGGAGTAGGGAGGCTGGGGTCTTTGGAGGTCACACTGGGACCCAAATATTACGTTTTAAAGATCTCTTGTTTCATGAAAAACACTAATCAAGATGAGCTCCTTAGGAGATGACTGTCCCATATTCTAAAGAAGAGTCCTCTCAGGCCCAATGAATCTCCCCCCACCGTCTGCCCCACTACTCTGAGGAGATAATCTCTCCTCTCCATTACTGTCTACAGACAGGTCCTCAGTTAGGTGCCTGCTATCCAAATATCTGGACAGTAAGCTCCTCGGAGCCCAGCTCAGGACGCTGCCCAACACCCCCAGGGGTTTGGGGAGGCTGAGTCAGGCAGATATTTACGTTCCCACAAGCCGACTTGGGCTGACAGTTCTTCTGTTCCTTTGACTTCTCTTTTTCCAGCTCTTCTGCAAGGCCACACGTGCTGGGGGAAAATCAACAACTGATGAGATGTGCCGCCTCCCACAGAGACCAAATCTCCAACAGGGCCCCAGTGTGCTCTAAGATGGCTCTTTTTAGACCAAGTTGTCGTAACTCAGATAAATGTCCCCAGGGCCAAGCATATAACAGCATGAGTGTCTGAGCATCACTGTCTGAGGTGACAGCGAGAATGGTGGAGCTGAGGACCTCGTGGACACACGCCCTGAACAAAGAGGTCACCACTACCAGACCTCATGGGGAAAGCAGACCCAGGGATGTTAAAGGCCGCTGAGTTGGTACGGAGTCATAGCAACCCTGTATAGGGTTTCCAAGGATCGGCTGGTGGGTTTGAACCACCGACCTAGTGGTTAGTAGTCAAATGCTCATCCTACAGAGCCACACCTGGACTCCAAATGTAAGGATAATTGGGGTGTGGGAATAGACAAGTAAAGAAAATCTGGATTTTTACTTGAAATGTACTGATTTGTAAATGCTGGAAAAGTTTCATATTAAAAACAAAACCAACCAGTAACACTGATGATTAACCACGGCTGCAGGACCCCCCACCTCCGTGTCCCTCCAGGGAAAACTGACCTGATAGACCCAGGACATGAACTCCAAGCTGGCAGAGGGCCACCAAATACCACCCACATCAACAACCTATGGGTCTGACCCAGTGACCTGACAGGACAGGCAAAAACTGCCCCGTAGGCTTCCCAAGACTGTAATCTTTACAGGAGCAGTCGGTAGGTTCAAACCACTGGCCTTTCAGTTAGCAGTTAAGCACTTAACCTCTGTGCCACCAGGGCTCCTCCACCCATGTTACCCCCCGAACTGTCACAGACACTGGGATAGGCAGCACCAAATGGCTAAAAACCATCTGGGAAACCTCACCAACCCAAGAGGAAAGGCCCAAAGATCCTGACTGGGGAGCCCTCTACACAGCCTCCAGGTCCCCTTCTGGAAAGCCCAATCAACAGAACCACCTCTGAGCTCTGAGCTTGCCGTCCTTTTTGTCCCGCACTCTTCACCAGGAAGACAAGGATATTTTACGAAAGTCTCTAATATAGAAGTCAGAGACCAAAACACAAAGAAGACAGTAAGTTGGAAGAAACAGAGCAGGCAGGGAGGGAACACAACTTTGAAAGAACCATCACTATCCTCAAGAGATAAAAGAAAATATCTCATGCATGAAATAAAAGCTGGATTTTATTAATGAAGTCAAGAGCAACAACAAAAAGAATCCTAGAAATTACAAACACTATGATAGAAATAAAACAACTCAGTAGAGATTTTGAAGAACTCTCTGTTAAGTGGGACAATAGGAAGACACAGGAAACAAGGAGGAAAATGACTGATTATCATCCAAAAGGATCCACAGCTATTACAGCAAAAGAAAATCGAGAAGACAGAAACCATAAACAAATGGAAGAAGACTCCCAGGGCTCTGGACAAGCACTTCCATACAGAAAAGACACACTAAATGCCTACTACAAATGACGAAAATAGACTCCTACCCAAGGCAAGTTCTTGCAAACTGACACAGGATAAAGATGATTCCACAAACTTCCAAAATGGTAAAAAGGTTTCATAAGAAGAATCAAGGAGCAGAATGGCCTCTGATAGCTCAATAGAATCACTGAGAGAAAAATTATAGAATTACTTTCAAATTCTGTATGAAAATAATTTCCAACCTAGATTTCTTATACCCATATTACCAATCAGGGTAGAAAATTGGTATTTTCATATATGCAACACCTCAAAAACCAACCAACTAACCAACCAAACCTTACTGTCTCCCAGGTAGCCTTTCTGAAGAAACTACTAGAAGATTTGCACCACCAAAACAAGAGAATTCCAAGAGGAAGACACAGGATATAGGAAACAGGAATGCTAACAAGACAGAGGGAAAGAAATCTTCAGGGAACAATAAGGAGATCCCCCAAAATGTCACATGTGCTCGATGGCAGAAGGTGACTCAAGAGACAGACCTGCTGAAGGCGGTCACCAGCACCATTCCTGCTGCTACCATACCAGCCTTTCCACCTGAAGCCAGGTGAGCTAGCCCAGGTTGTCCTTGGTCTCTCTCACCACATGCTGTCGGCATTTCTCTCTCGTCACACCCTGATGCCCACGTCAAATGAGGACACTCACTGCACCTCCTGAGGGCGAGCTTAGCGCAGGAAAGAGCACAGACCCCTCCCTCCGCCCATATTTCTGCTGGTTGCCAGGAACTGCATCATGCGCCAGCGCTCTAGGTGCTCTGGCTGTGGCCTGCCTTCCACTGCTTACAACTCATTCGTAGCCCTTTCTACTGAAGAATAGTGGCAGCAGGTAACTGACAGATTCGTCCATGTCCTAACCTCACAACCTGTGGCCGGGAGCTTATTTGGAATAAGGGTCTCTGCAGATTTAATTAAGGATCTTGATATGGCCCTAAACCCATAGACAAATTTCTTAAAAGAGACAGAGATATAGAGACGTCTGTGTGAAGATGGAGCTCTGTACTGATGCGGCTACAAACCAGGGATACCAGATGCTGGAAAAGACAAGGAAGGATGCTCTACTAGAACCTTCAGAGGGAGGTGGCCCTGCAGACATCTTAATCTCAGGTTTCTGGCCTCCAGGACTGTGAGAGAATAGACTGCTACTGTTTCAAGTTACCAACTTTGTTGTCTATTTGTTACAGCAGCTCCAAGAGACTAATACAATAATGTATGGATTAGTGTGTAAAGCCTTCATACAATAATGGAATACTGACTCTTCCTTTCTTTGGGCTTACTACCTGGTTCTCCACAGCTAAGTAATATATTGTTAAGAGATTCATGCCAAGGTAGCAAGTCACCAGAGAAGCCAGCGAATGATGGTAGAGGGAGGGAAGCAGATGCAGCTGAGGAAGCTACTAGGAAGGTTTTGATCTTCTCTTCAGCCCATGAGTGTTCATTTTATGAATCTTTAAAATGGACCTTTTAATATGTGCCTCCCTCCATATGCATGAGACATTTCACAATAAAATAAACATCTGAAAAACAGTCAAATCCTGCGATCACTCGGGAACTAGAAGCCACTGGGAGAAACGGCAGACCCTGCTTCCCCCAGCACTTACCAGTTCTTGCAAGCCTTCTTCTTGTTCCCTTCTCCGCATGAAGCAGCTCGCAGGGAAGCAGGGTCTGGCTTCTTCAGATCTTCTGGATCCAGCAGCTCATCTGAGTCAATGAGATCCTAGAGACACATTCACGGTCTCTGCTCATGAAAAGCTAAGTGACCCAGGTGGTGGTGGGGATGTGACCAGTGCAAGGAAAGACTGAACAACTGTCCTGCCACCATGCCCAAGACACCAACGGGGAGCTAAACCATGTCCCCAAAGATGAAGCTAATTTACACGAGGAGCAGCGTGTGGACAATATGCATGTGTGCTTGCAGGGGAAGGAGAGGAATATAGAGGGAAAAACAAACCCGAACCCAAACCAACCCACTCAGAGTGACCCTCCAGGATAGAGAACAGCCCCCCACAGGGCTCCCAAGACTGTAAATCTTTACAGGGAAACAAAGCCTCATCTTTCTTTCTCCTGCAGAGCATCTGGTGGGTTTGAACCGCTGACCTCGCGGTTAGCAGCCCACTATGCCACTCGACGGCACTTAACAACAAACAATAATGCCACCAGGGCTCCTGGGACAAAAAGAAAGGTTATATTTAGTTCAATATATAAAGGGCTCACGTGTGAAAAAGGAATCAAATATTTTCTGTGAAGTTCCAGAGAAAAGGGCAAATACTATATATATATTTGTGTCATTCTTTGACAGGCCATGTGGACAGTTAGACTGTAAACTCTATGCGGGCACAGCTCTCACAGAAGCGCTGTACAAATGAGGAACGTGATTAAAGGTGGAAAGTACTGTTCCTAACACAGGGAGCCTCCATGACTTGCTCAAACAAAGGAGCCAACACAAATCTCTGAGCTGGAAGACGCTGTTCACGCTTACACATGTCCACAGCACTTTCTCATCTGTCATGGGAAGTGAGAACAAGGAAATCTGCAGGGAAGAGAGATGCTGAAAAGAAATTCACATTCCCACCAAGTGCTTCCATCGAAGGAAAAGATGCCAGTAACCAACAGGGGCATGCCGCTGGGCTTGCAATACACTCCCACTAAGAGGTCCAGAGTCTACTCTAAACTATGGCCACTCACACCCAGGATGGGACCTGGAAGAGAAAAGCTCGGTGCCAACTCACCATGCTGTCATCATCCATGTCATTGGCAGACAGTGTCCAGAGTCTGGCAGTAGCAGGGTCCACAGCAGGCTTCCCTGTGTCCAACCAAAGAAAGAAAAAGCTCCGTTAAGAACAGTCAGATGCAAGTGCTTTCTACCAAGAAACCATGTGCAGAAGGCAACACGCTGGACTGCAAGCAAGGAGCCGTGGGTTCGCAGTCCAGCTTCGCCAAGCGAATTGTTTTATGATAGTAAACAAGTCACTGTTTGTTAAACACATGCCTGGTATCATTTAATCGTGCTAACAGCATTATGAAGCAAGTAGGTTTTTGAGATCCTAATTTTACAGATGTATAATGAGGTTCAGAGTGTTTAAATAACTTAGATACAAATAAAAGTCTGACTCCAAAGTAATGTTTTTACCTCTCCACCTTGCTTCCTCCTCATCTTATGAGGGGGCTTCAAAAAGTACATGGGAAAATAGGATCAAAAGAAAACAAAATTTATCTACAAATTCTCTGAAGCCCCCTCAGTTTCCATCCCTATAACATGGGGCCAAATCTCTCACCAGTACTTTGAGGATTAAAGGAGAGTGTCTCAAAAGGCTTCATACATCGCAAAGCTTTAGCCTTACATAAGCCTGGTGCAGGCAAGGAGAGGGGCTCTCGAGGTGCTGGTGGGAGTAGAACACAAGTCAGTGGCAGACGGCAACTGAGAAAGAGCAGGCCACAAGATTCCGTCTAGAGCAGATCCTCAAACACGGCTCTGGAGCTAAGGGAACTCCAAATCTGAGCCCAGCTGGGATTACTGTCACAACTCGATGTACAGACCTCCCACACAGCACACTGTGTACATATCGCCAAGGTTTCTGTCCAAGGAGATCTTAAAGATTTAGGCTGGACCGTCAAAACAGTGCAGTGTGAACATACCAGTAAAGAGCGGAACATGTTTGCACACCTCACAGCTGGGACAACTGTCTCAAGCCAGGCATCAACAAACAGCACAAGGAAGGATGAGAGAGTGGCGGTGACAAACGGGGGCAGAGGAAAGAATAGTTTAGTGTCTTAGGAGTTAAAGAAAAGCTGGCGTACTTAGAATAAAATGGACACATGGAAACAGGACTTCTCTACCACTGTGCACTCAGGGAGGCTTTAAGACTAAAGGAAGGGATTCCTCCCCAAATCTGGAGGCCTGATTCTCCTCTGCTTCAGAGGAAGAGCCTGATCTAGAGAACACATGTCTACTATGTCAGTTTTGGATCAGAAGATGCCCGGGATCTAGTAGTACATTAAGCTTCCATTTAGAAATGACAGGAATGAAGGTGAATCCTCAGAAACTAAGGCCGCCTGTGTGTCCAGCTCACTTTTCAAGGTGTCTCTTCATGTCCATTTAAACGGAAGAACGTCCCAGTGGCAGTCTTACCTGAAGGAGACTTCTTGGCATTGGAAAGTTTAAGCTGGCTAGAAGATCCTACTTCAAAGTTTGGTTTTTTGCCCATGATCTGAACCGAGAGCAAGCTGTCACTCTGGTAGCTCAGCTGGTCTTGGACAAACTGCATCTCCTCAGGGCCCAGTGAGTCCCGCTGCAGCTGGAATGGCACATGTCAAAAGGATTAATCCACACTCCTCTGGAAAGTCGTGCTGTACAGGGCCCACGCCCAATCCTCACTTCTGTGTCAGAACGTACCAGACATCGCTACAGGCCCCTCCCCTGTTCCACTCTGAGCCATCAGAACCCTAGAGTCTAACTTTTATCCATATATTCACTTTGAACCTTTGGAAAAATTTAAAACACTTGTCAAAGATCTATTAGGTCTAGTAACTCTGGGAGTTGGAAACTGATAACAATTATACAAAGACAGGCGCAACCCCTAGAGTGGGACTCCTGCTCACAATGAAGATACTGGGCATCTATATCCTAAGGCAGAGAGAACTACAGAGAGAGGGAAATGCTTTCTAGGTTCCTTGGCAAGAAGTAGCAGACAGTAAAGGTAGAAAAAAAAAAGGGGGTGGGACGGGGAGGGGGTGACAACTCTATGTCCAAAAAGCAAATCACAGCTCATCACCGCATTAATAGGAATGGTGGTGGTTATGTGCTGTGGAGTCTATTCCAATTCATAGCGACCCTGTATAAGGTTTCCAAGGCTATAAATCTGTGCAGGAGCAGAGAGCCTCCTCTTTCTCCCGTATTAACAGGATAGAGAGCAATATACTGAGGCGGATTCTGAAGGAGAAGAAGCTAGGGACAGAACAACACATACATGCCATCTTATTTATATAGCATAGGGAAGTATGTGTGCATGACTATAGCATACTTGTACGTATACAGGAAAAGGTCTGAATGAACAATCAAAAAATGCATTGGCAGCTTCCTCGGGAAAGGGAAGTGTGAACAAGGACTGAAATGTCACTTTGTAGTCTTCAGTCTGAATTTTTATAAACATCCTTATTTTAGAATAACAAAGCAAAAGGAAAGAAATGGCAGGCATAAACAAATCAAGGGCCAAAGTCATGTAGCGAATCACTGGCGAAGTTAGAAACAAAAACCTTTCTCCTATGAAAGAACTTCAAAATGTTGTCGAAAAAAAGGGATGAAAAGATAATGGACATTTTCCATGAACTTTTTGAAGTCCCCTCCATAGTATAACATTTATCTCTTACACACATAACATTGGAAAAATCCTACCTAACATTGGAGAGGACTTTAGAAATACAAATCTCTCTGTAATTTCAATTCTCCACTGAAGTGTCAGAATTGTACTCTATCTAGCCTGAGGATGGTGAATGACCGAGGTGGTTCACTTGGGCCTAAGATCTGTGCCCATTTAAAGATTTGGGGCTGAAGCTGCTCTCCCTGCTTCGGCAGTAGTGAGACCAGAACAGGACAGACCTGGCCACATGGGCCCCAGCTGAATCTCTTCAAAAGGAAACCCATTTCCAGAGATTTTGTTCTCAGAGGCATCGCCATTATCTCAATCTGTTTTGTATTTCTAAGCAACAATTATCACCTCATCTTCAGAACTGTTAATTCCCAGATCCTTTCCATGTAGTTCTGACAAAGAGATACTACTGTGTTTAGTTACCCAAGATCCGCAAAGAAGGTTGTCTACAAACATACCTCTTTTACTTCCACAAGACCAGAAAGAGTCAGGGCCGAACACAGTTTAGATGCTGTCTTTACTTTGCTATTGTTAACTGCCAAGAGGAAAACTCCAATTAATAGCTTTATAGGGTGAAGCAGGAAAAATAATAAAGGTTCTATCCTATCTGGGTCAGCAGGCATCAAAACAATAAGAATCTATTCTGTTTAAGGCATGTGGATTTCAGTGATAGTGTTTTAATTTGACCAATCCTTTTGATTATGTTTAAAGAGCTCTCAGCTATATACTCTGAAGTGCTATAATTCCATTATTGTGTCATACCATTCTCTGCTTCTGGGAAGTATATATACTTGAGAGATTGTGAAGACAATGATCATCAAAGAGGCTTAAAAACAATAAACTGAACAGTATTTGCTCTGTATAGTTCTGACAAAAGGACACTATGTTTAGTCACCTGGAGTTTAAATTCCCAGTCAGGAATGATAATAAAGTAGTGCAATGTGTTAGCCATTGGACTGCTAACTGCAAGGTTGGTGGTTCCAACCCACCAGCTACCCTGAGAGAGAAGGTTGAGGCCTCCCATAAAGACAGTCACAGAAACTCTGAGGAGCAGATCTGCTCTGTCCTGCAGGGTCACTGAGAGTTGGAATGGACTTGATAGCTGTGGGTATACCTATCACAAGCTTACATTTCTTCATAAACAGCGAACACCTTTATCTATTTCCACAACCATTTCATTTCCATCATCTTCTTTGATGAAAGGAAATAGAACAATCTGTTTTGATTGAAAATCAAGTAAAAAATGCCAAAAATCCAGAATTAGATGCTTCTTAGACAGGTATTGTTGTTCAGTGCAGTTAAATGAGATCTGGCTCACAGCAACCCTGCAGAGGGTCTCTGAGGCTGTGAACCTTTGTGGGAACAGAAAGCCTCAGCTGTCTCCCACTTTGATCGCTACACCACTGAACAAAACAAAACAAAAAAAAAGAGAGAGGCTTTTATTTCTTGGACCCAATTGTTAGTTTCATGCGAATCAATAATTGCCTTATCATTCCCAGACTTCCAGCCATTATTTCAAAGACTATTTACTTTGAAAGACTTATAGATTCTCAGGAAGTTGGGACAGGAGCGTCGTGTGTAAGTACAGTACAACATGAAGTTCAGGACACTGACATTGGTACAGTCCACAATAGGACATACTCACATGTTACCGGTATTACAGGCACTCACACGTGTGTGTGTGTGTGTGTGTGTACATAGCGCTATACTACTCATTCACATGTACAGATTTGCATTAAGCATAATCATATCAAGATACACACATGCTCCGTCACGACAAGAATCTCTCTGCTGCCTATTTGGAGCCACACGCCCTCCCACTTCTAAGCCCCAGAAATTACTAATCTGTTTTCTAACATGAATTTTGTTATCTCAAGAATGTTGTATAATAGAATCACACAGCATGCAATCTTTTGAGACTGGTTTTTTCACTCAGCATAGATCCCTTGAGATCCATCCAAGTTGTTGCGTGTATCAAACATCAAAAAAATGGGTGTTTTTTTTTATTGCTGCAGAGTCTTCTATGGAAAAGACAGACCGTGGTTTGCTTAACCATTCGCCTGTTGAAGGACCCAGCCATTCCTAGATGGGCACTTTCTATTTTACTATTGAACAGGGCAAACAAAACCCCAATTTCTTCAGAGCTGTTGCTGCAGAATGTAACAATAACTTAAAACTAAGAGAAGGGTCTGTTGTAGAAATATCGATCTCTAATTCTATTTCCTACTTAGGGAGATGCAACAAACATACCTAAAGATTCAACCCTGCTCAAGCTAATCTCTCACGTGAAGATTTTCTTACCTTCAGCAGTCTCTGCTGGCTCTTTCAGAAAAAGACAACCACCAGGCCGAAGGATCCGGGCCATCTCAGCCAAAATCTCAGCACTGTGCAGAGTCGTGCTTCCGGGAACAAGACCCGACAAGATCACATCAAAGCTGGACTCTTTATGTGCAGCTGAAAAGCAGAAAGAGTCAGCAACTACCTGAGCCTCAGAAGCTATTTCCCAATCTCTCTCCCTGGGAAAGGTAAAACACCTGCTGGTTCAGCACACACGATTCCATCACCATCATTAGCAAGAGGGCTGCTCTCCCACAGTCTTACCAACTCCGTTATCTCCTTATATGCTCACGGAAAGGAAGTTAAAAAGGGAACTGAATAAAGAGCAAGCTTTTTAAAAAATATGTGGACTAGCTACTAAGAAAGAAAAACTACTTATTCAATTGCCAACCACAGCCCTAAACCCACTACATCTCAAATGAAAAAATGACAGATGACTGGCCACTGCTACTACATACCTCTCAAAACAAACACTTAGCTACCCCAGGAACTGCCGAACCGCAGCACTCCCGGCAAAGGCCCTCCCCCCTGCAGAGACAACATGGGTAGGAACTTACATTGTAGCAACTGGTTGAGGTTTTCCACAGATACTCGGCCTTCACTGCCAGTCAACGCTTGAAGCGTGTCCACCAGATCTTTCAGTGCTTCCGCTGGAGATGACCTATCCCAGACTACCGCCACATACTGGCCAGCTGAGATCCCCAAATCCGCCATTCCTGCAATGCTGACAGACCTAAAAACCAATGGCCAAAGGAGAATCAAGACTGAGCAGAGGTAAGTGTACAGTTCAATCCATGGGGCATCAGCAAATACGACGGGAATTATGACTCAATGTAGACCTCCCACCAACACTGCTGACAGCATCAGAAAATCTTACTATGGATGCTATTCAGGCTCTTTACTCTGAAAGAATCAACCCATGATCTCCAGGTACCAAATCCTAACATGCCTCAAAAAGGTAGACAGGATCCTGACTTGTATAGTCAGGAAAAGGGGATCAGAGTCAAGTACATAAGATGAGGGCAGACCAATTCTTTTCTCTTGATTGAGGAGACAACTCAGCATGAATAGACACAGACAAGACACCAACTAGGCAAATATGATTCAGCAAAGGAGGTAAATAAACTGGCAGGCGTTTATCAACCACAAGCTTATTATTTAAAAAAGAGACAGAGAGCGATGGCACTAAATCTAGCAAACTGAACACTAACGTTTTTTCTTTCCTCAAAATAAATGTGAAAATTCAAGTCTATTTAATCTGCAGTGATCAATGTGGTGCTAGACCTGTAAAGATCAATAAACACTGGGCCACAAGGTCAGTGGTTCAAACCCAGCAGCCGCTCCCTATACAGGGTCACTATGAGTCGGAATTGACTTGACAACACTAAACAACAACAACAAAATACAACATTTACTATCAGACACACTGTTCAAAGCACTTTACTATACACTATCTTACTTGGATCTCAGAACAGCTTTAAATGAGCTATTGTTGTGTTATTGTTAAGTGCCATCGAGTCAGTTCCGACTCACAGTGACCCTGTATAGGGTTTTCAAAGAGCAGCTGGTGGGTTTGAACTGCCGACCTTGTGGACCAGTGCTTTAGCCCACAGCACCAGCCCAGGATTCCTCCCATTTTATAGGCAGGAAATGGAAGCAGTTAACTTTACTCAGGTCACAAAACTAGTAAAGTGTTAGGAGCTGGGCTCTGAATCCAACTGGCTGGAAAGCACAGGCTTTCTAACCTCTGAAAGATTCCTCCACAGGTCAATTATCTCTTCCTCTTGATACTGAGGTGCGTATAGAATGTGCTCACAGTGAAATGAGGTCAGGAGATATTCTGCTCAGTTCCTTCTTTCTTAAACATTAATGACACTTAGTTTCTGACCTAAAAAGGTTCAAATAAAAGAAGTTCAGCAGCGGGGTCAGGCAGGGACTAACTAGTCTCACGCTAAGCACTTCTGATTTCTGCAGAGGTGGCTAATTCAGTGATAATTATGCCCCTACAGCTACAACAACAATATCAACCACCACTGAAACAGAACTGAAGTCATACCCAGTACACGCTTCCTTCATTAACTATGTTCACTTTCAAATGACTCTCCTTTTTTAACCTACAAAACATGTCCAGGTTAGCTGAAATCACCTTAAATACCACAGAACTAGTCACCCTTAAAGGAGCTCTGGTAGCGTAGTGGTTACAAATCAGGCTGTGAACCTTAAGGTCAGCAGTTCAAAACTACCAGCTATTCCGCGGGAGAAAGATGAGGCTTTCTGCTCCCGTAAAGATTTACAGCCTTGGAAACCCTGTACAGGGTCGCTATGGGTTGGAACCAACTCCATGGCACACAACCAGTCACCCTTAATCTCAAGGTTGGCAGTTCAAACCCACCAGTCGCTCCTCAGAAGTCCTATTCAGGAGTGTGCTAAGAGTTGGAACCAACTCAACAGCTCGTAACCACAGTTACTCTTAAATACTACAGAAGGTTGCTCTTGCAACCTAGGAACTCCTAGAGGAGTTTCCGAAGGTTTAATTATCAAAAGCAGAGTCAAAACTGAACCTTGTGGATTCAGGACCTCTACCATCTGAATCTTCAGTACCTCCCACAACTCCTGCTCATATAGCTGAGTTCCAGCCAAAGGCCATCTCTCCTTGTTCTATGAAACACCTTTGCACTTCCTTGCTATCCTGCTTTTTCTCTTGCTCCTTCCACCTGGAGTGCCAGTCTTTTGCTATCCACACACCACTTCATGCACAGGAACAGGATGCCAAAGGCTGCCAGGCCAGCTACATTCCTTAGTCACAATCAAGAACTGAACGGAGCTTTGTTACTGTCACATAATGTTGACGGGGAACCACTGCAGATCTTTAAAGTGAGCAACTTAGGCTGAATATCACATTTCTCTAATTACAATATAAGAAATAAATAAACGGCCAGTTTCTAGATTGATGTTGGAACATGTTCTCCCTTGAGACAACAGAAAGGAATGACAAGCTCCCTGCCCACCAACTACTACAATATTCAACTACTGTTGTAGTTATGTGCCGTGGAGTCGGTTCTGACTCATCGCAAACCTGTACAGCGTTTCCGAGGCTGTAAATCCTTACAGAGCAGAAAGCCTCATTTTTCTCCCGCGGGAACAGCTAGTAGTTTCGAACTGCTGACTGTTGAGATTAGCTACTCACAGCTACTTTTTTTCTTCATGAAGAAAAAAAGGGGCAAAACATTGCTTACTAGCTAGAGAGAATGCCAAAGGGCCAGATCTTTTCAGTAACATTTATGGCGCAGTTTTATGGAATACAGGGTCTGAATGCACACTTACAACAGGAGTTCTATTCAGCTGCCTGACCATGGGTAAGTTATTAGCTTCACTGAGTCTACTTTCTCATCAATAATGTAGGGCTAGCCCCTCATATTTTGCAAAGCTCTTGTAAAAAGACAAAAATGTTGAAGCACTCAGCGGGGTCTGACCCATAGAGCTAAATAAAATGATGCTCCTATGAGAACTCTGGGCCTCCATTTTTCTGGAGGCAGTTTATTTGCCTTTGTTCCGGTCATATAAAACCTGTTCTTTCTCCTTAGCCATGAGCACGGGAGAACTCTCCAGGGAGTAATGTGAAGCGTCCACTTAGTTGTTAGCACTATCCAGTAGAAGAGCTGTACTTTTACGACATCTTGGACAGTATCCCAGTGAGCTCCTGTCAGTACATGAGAAGACCGTAAAATGTTGTCGCTGCATTTCCCTAAACCCTGATACTCCTATATCAAGCGAGAGCTCATAAGACACATTCATGAACTCTCAAAAAGCAGAGCCACCACTTTCAGTCAGCATTTTCCAAATAAAATGGGAGACAACGCTCTTTTCAGTATCTCAAAGCCAGACTAGAAGACCTTTCACCGTCTGACCTTTGTGGTGACAGTGTTATGAATCTATCTTCTACACAAACAACAGAAAAACAATGTCTGGCACATAAGCCAATATTTTGAGAAGCTGTGACTCAGAGCCCAGTTTAATATTGAAACAGAAGAGGCAGAGAAGACATTGTCACCGTACTGGCCTTGTTGGGTGGCACTCCTCCAGCTCCGACTGCTGCACACCCATGCCCACAGTTCTTCTAAAATATTACAGGAAAGGAGTCAAAGCAGATGTCCCAATACCTTTTAAAGGTACCCGTACACATCAAATCTTGAATCAATGGCCCCTTATAAGGGTGAAGGGGCTCAAGAGGAAAAAAAAAATAAGATTCAAGCTTCAGTTCAAGACAAGAATCTAATCTTCTTAAGTTGTTGTTGTTGATATGTGCCGTGGAGTTGGTTACCCTGTACAGGGTTTCCGAGGCTGTAAATCTTTACCGTAGCAGAAAGCGTCATCTTTCTCCAGAGGAACAGCTGGTAGTTTTGAACTGCTGATCATGAGATTAGCAGCCCGATTCGTAACCACTACACTACCAGAGCTCCTTAATACTCTCAAGTTAGGTGCATAAAAATTCTAACAATTATTTGTCAGAACGGAGAATTTCAATTAAAATGAGGTGACTGAAGCACACCTGGGCACACACACAGAGAGAAATTTTTAAAAAAATAACAAGGTAGGAATCAGCAAGGAAGAGTAAGAAATGGACGACTTTGTCTTCAGTTATTTGGTGTATCAGGAATTGAGAATTTCAGAAATGAAATCCAAGTTGAATTTGAGTTTTTATAGGCAAGGCTCATTCAAAGACGGGTAAAGACTTCAGAAAACAAAACAAAATCTCATGAAGAGATCAGTGTAGTGCTCTGACTACATCCAGAGATGATGTTAAGTGCTTTCCAGTCAGTGCAACTCAACATGACTCAGAGGACTGACTTGGTTGGTTTGAAACGCCGACCTTGCAGTTAGCTGCCTAGTGCTTATCCTAGATCTGAAATTTCAACATTTGGGGAAGGTTTGGTTTTGACTAAACTCAGACAACAACAGCTGGAGGCTTTGAGAGGGCTACAGCTGATAAAGGGAGTGCAAAACACAACTTTAAAAGGTAAATTTACTGACTCATATGCCCCATCTAAAATCCATTGATTTCTTCCTAATAAGCCTATGGAGGGCTGAAAGGTCAGTTTGAACCTCAAGGTTGATGGTTCAAACCTGCCAGTCGTTCCTTGGAAACCCTATACAGGGTCGCGGTCGCTATGAGTCAGAGCTTTGGTAGCTTGTTGTTGTTGTTAAGTACCGTCGAGTCGGTTCCGACCCATAGCGACCCTGTACAGGGTTTCCCAGGCTGTAAATCTTTACGGGAGTAGAACGCCTCATCTTTCTCCCGCGGAGCGGCTGATAGTTTCGAACGGCTGGCCTTCAGGTTCGCAGCCTGATTCCATTTTGTTCAATCTTTCATGGAAGAACATTCCTTCAGGAGTCCTCCTCTGGGCTCTGGTAGCGTAGTGGTTACCAACTGGGCTGCTAACCTGAAGCTCAGCAGTTCGAAAGTACCAGTTGTTCCTGCGCCCATAAAGATTTATAGCCTTGGAACCGACTCCACGGCACACCACCATGAGCCGGAACCGGAACCCACTCAAAGCCACTTAACAACAACATTAAGCCTATAGGGCCGCTATGAGCAGCAGGATTAAGCCGCCCTAGGGAGGGAAGCCACGATCTCCTCAGATGACCCCAGAGTCTTGCACTCAATGTCAGAATGAATGATAGCTCTAGCTAAGTGCCGTCGAGTCGGTTCCAAC